ATGTATGGTATTCAAGCGTATGTCTTTCAAACTGGGAAGGTGAATATTTCCGACACATCCCAAAACAACCATGGCTGCCAGACCGTTTCTTTCAATACTCAGTTCCAGGGTTCTGGAGATGTAAAGGTGTTTGCAACGCTTAGCCACGGAAGCGAACATGTCAAAATCCACGACCCAGCGTCTGTTTGGGTGAAGTCAGTGTCCACATCTGGTTTTGATGCCTGCGTTCGTGAAGCAGGCAGTGGTTCTGGAGGCGCGTCTGTGATCAACTGGCTTGCCTTTCAAGGTTCGCACCAAGGTCTTGATTCAGGAATCGTTGAATTTGATGAATTCACCTCAAGAACCCAGTGCAAGAGGATATCGCTTAGTATTCAGAATAAGGTGAGATGGTAAAGTAGGTGAATTCAATCAGTCATTTTAACATACTTACAGGTGATAAACAATACATTCTTACTTGGACAAAATCGATCAGGCATGGAAGAAGGGGCCTTAAGCCTAAAGCTACATGTAGAATCGAGAATTCGGAAGTCCCATGCTTTGCTGTCATAATTTGTCACTTAGAAGGAACTTTGAAAATGTCACATCAGGGTTATGTAGAATCCCAGACCTTACATTTTCATTCTTCTTTTTTTTTTTCTGTGTCATAGATAATTGTTCTTTTGTTATACTCTGTCTTACTTAGGCGAGACCCCAAGTGTTTGTGACTGTTCTACATAAACATTCCGACCGACCATTTGACTCCATGAACATTTGGCTAGAAGACGTCAAAAAGGATGGTTTTGTGGTTTGCTTGAGGGAGTTTATGAGCTTTGACGGCATCCATTCAGGTCTTAAAGTGGTAAGTTGAAATTAGAGAAGTCTGAGGTGACTAGTCTTTATTGCTCTATTCACGAAATTACCACGCAGAGTTTGTGTGGCAAAGAAGTCCACCTTGGGGTAACTAAAGGGTGCGTTCCAGTCAGGTGGCATCGCACACTACACTTCTAGGTACAATAAATTCTATATCGTGCTTCTTCTCCAACTTGTATTACTAAAATTAATGTATCAAAAACAACAGTGAAAACAAGAAAATCGACTCAGTTAACGTCTTACGTGCTAGTTTATTTAGGTTACATATACCTGTTCCCAATGCTTTTTGCACCACTTCTGTCTCTCGGAGCTCCCCATCTCAGGACGACGAATGATGATAATAATCGTCCGCAAATCTGCAAATAAATTTGTGCATATTCTCTTTTTTTTAAAGAACTGGCTTGCGTATGATGTGCTCCCGGGGTCTTGGAATATTACTGAAAGAGGAAAGCTTCATTTTTCTGGACTTGGTGCACCAAAGAAAGAAAACAACTATGCTTTTTGTCAGGTAGGAAAGACTAACAGTCTTCTATATGTCTTTGATGAGCCTCTGTTTAGTTTAGTTCAGCTCAAGGGAAAACGTGTATCGCCCATTTCCAAGAGACACTATAGCGGTCTGTTTCTGTAATGAATGTACGGTTATCAGTGACAAAATAGGGTTTACCGTATCGTTGATCTTGATTTCCGTTGCACACTATATTTGAATTGTACAATAGTGCATCCACTAGCAGTCTTTATAAACCTTGATGTTGCACTATAATCTCTTTTATTTATTTCTTTTGGAAAACTTGCAAGACTTTAAGAGGAAAAACACTTTTACCCATTATTATAGGCAAGTTAAATAGGAACTGTCTTACATAACAATAACAACAAACAAAAACGTTATTGACAGCAATGAAACCGATAACACATACACACTACCTACATTTAGCAAAAGCTATGGGAGGCAGGCAGTGTACATGAACTGATGCATTTTTAAATGTCTTAAATGTTAAAACAAGAAAAAGACAGAAAGGCCTTTGAATTACAATAGTTTTTCTTAAACCGAGGTCGTAATAAGAAGGTGATAAGCTTTGAATAAGGCTTTAACTATGCATTTTTGTGTAATAATGGTTTTCAGGATTATAAATTCGAAAATCCATTTTACGAGCCTCCCAGTGTCCTCGCGTCTGCCAGACATGACAACGACACCAGTGCTCTGTGGATGAAGGCTGGTGGTCGTTTTAGCAACGCTTTAAATGTTTGGATCGAGGTAAGTAATTTTCTAGACCATATACAGCCATTTATCTTTCCTCATTTATTGAAACTGATTTTAGGGTTCTGTTTTCAATTGCCTCCACACTCCAAGTAACTGAGTAAAAATAAATTAAGCGCTCGAAATGGCTGCACCGCTTTTATATTTGACTTGAGTCAAATTCCTCAGTCATTACTGTCGTTTCAGCCACGGTTTTGTACCAAGCAATTTTTCAATATTTTTTATTTAATTTCAAATGTGGGCTGGAAAAAAACTGGCGAATAAAAGGACTTCATTCAATTTCAGTAAAATTGAGTCAGTCGAAAAAATTGACTTAGATAATTCTAAAAAGTTATTTTCTACACATACTTTTCTTGCGTTTGGAATTCTCACCCCACAAAAGAAATACCCACTCTTTAAAGATCTAGGAACTAGGAACCTACTTAAGACGCAGAAAGCTTCACTTTTTTTCTCATTTTACTTGGATAGACTAAGGGAATTTTTGAACTGCCAGATATTTAATTATAAATTTAATATCTAGTTCATTGTTTAGGAATTCTATAAATTTTTTGTACTTCAGTTTGACCGGAGTAGTAAATTGATCGAACTGAACTGTATTTCTCGCTAAATTTGTAGCAGTTATACCTGAATGAATTTGTTGTCTTCTAGGAAATCACTCGTTTGTCTTTCAAATTGTGCATCAAGGACAGCCAGGGAATAAGCAAGTCTCACGATCCAGTTACAGTGGACTATGCAATTGTGGGAGGTAATTTGTTGTTTCCATTGCATCCAAAAGAAGAAACTTCAGTCAAGATAACAAGCAATTTTTAAAACCGAAAAAAGAAAAGAAAAACGAAAAAAGACAAGTTTTTTGGACATATACACATGTAGTGAAGCTCTTAAAAAACGTAGTCTTTTATAATTCTTCTGACTTAAGTCTCGCCCCGCATGCCGAATGGGGTAATATTTTTCCCAAAAATGTATTATTTTAAGCACTTTTTGCTTCAGGAAGATTTCCAATAGGAGTTGAGGGAAAAAATTGGTTAAATTCCTGTCGTAAGAAGTGATTTTGTATTTTGTCTCAAAGATATTGACCCGTGCACAAATGTTACTTGCGATTACCATGCCATCTGCAAAGCTTTCTCTGCTTTTGATGCCCGATGCGTTTGTGATGACAACTGTCCGTCATATGAGGAGCCGGTGTGTTCATCCAACTCGACAACATTCAAGAACAAGTGCTTTTGTCTGCTGGACATTTGCCAACGCAAAAGCAACCACACCCTTTATCATCCTGGCAGCTGTACAGGTAGAATTCTTACTAGGCTTTTTTTACATTACTTCTTTTTGGCCTACTGCAAAGCATGAGACGATCCACTAGGCCTGGGTCAGAATTAAATATTGCTTTTGTTTCCGCCTTCTCAGCGCATGTCCCTCTTACTCCCTCCACACACATACTCCCCATCACCGTAGATGAATTGACAGAGAAATTCATAACGGCCTTTTCTTTTATCATTAGCTCTTGATGTCACTTTGGCTTACTTTGTTAATTTGTTAATCTAATGTGCTGGATACGAGCTACCTGGATGTATCACTTTAAAGGGCATTTAATCCTGGCATTGAAGCAAAAACTCTTTCTTGTCCCTCTATCCTTATTTGTTTTAACTCTTTGCATTTGTATACTTCTTTAGGCTTTCCAGTTCAGACCGGGCGGGTTTCACTCATAAGACGGGTAAAATCAGCTGAGACGGCCTGTAAAGTGGTGAAATTTCCACCATTCTCCTTCTATCCAGACAAAGAAGTACACGTGCAAATAACGACCAATCACTGGAACATCAGCAGGAAAAATTTTATACATGATGCCACAGTTTCATGGGTGCACACCGTTAACTACGAAAATTTTGAGGTGAATATTAAAAATGATGGTTTAGTTTATCATAAAGGCCAGCGGTCTACCAAGTGGTAATAGTTTGTAATTCGGTAGCATTTAAAGATTTCCATTCTCGGCGTGTATGTTTTTATTTCTCTTAACCTTTTTATTGACGATTTGTAAAAAAATCCATTTACTGTTCCTTAATTGCTGACGTAATCACTGTTTAATTACTGTTCTTTAATTCCTGTTCATAACTTGTACTACTTTTATCATTTTAATTGTGCTCATCCTGCATGTCTTGCTTATTCTGAAAAATTAACGTTATATAACATTTATAGCCTGTTCCAGGCGTTCAGATAGTGGGGAGCGGTGCGAAGTAAAAAGGAGCGCGAAAAAATAAAAGCGAGGGAGGGGGAGAGGCACCTCTCTCCCCAGCCCCCCTCTACTTTTTATCGCTTTCTTTACTTTGCACCGCTCTCCACTATCTGAACGCTTGGAACAGGCTATAACATTTAAAACTTGGCATCAGAGTTTTTCCCCTTATATGTATTTATGTGTGATTAATCCATCAAAAACTGCTCGAAATATTGGTGTGCTATTTGACTCGTCACTGTCTATGGAAGAACATATTAAGGCAACCTGTAAATCTGCTGTCTTCCATTTAAGTATCATAGCTCGAATACGAAAGCACTTGCTAGCACAAGCGGCAGAGACCTTGATCCATTCCCTTGTGACCTCAAAAGTGGATTTCTGCAATTCACTTCTTTATGGTGTTCCTAATCAACCGATACAAAAACTCCAAAGAGTTCAAAACTCAGCGGCCAGGCTATTAACTTATACCAACAAGCGGGAACACATTAAACCTGTGATAAAACAGTTTCACTGGGTACCTGTTGAGTTCAGGGTCCCGTATAAAATCCTACTCAGGACTTTTTTAATGTTTAAATGACACTGCTCTTGCTTATCTTAAAGATTCAATTCACCTGTATACGCCAAACCGCAGTCTGAGATGAACTCAAAAAACTACTTAGCTCATGAGCAATACCACCTGAAAAGTTATGATCCGGTTAGAGCCTTCACAATTGCAGCACCCATTCTCTGGAATGCACTCTCAGATAGGCTCAGAGACCATTCAAATTTTCTATATCTTCTTATAAGAAATAACTTAAAACACACTTTTTTAAAATAGCATTTTAGCATGTGAATTTTCTACTGCTGATTTAATTATTCATTTTTTTTTTTTAAATAATTCCTTATTTTATTGTGAAGTGGTAATTAACTTTACGGAATTAGCGCTATATAAGTGTTACTTGGACACAGATAAAATCTCAATCAACCAAATAACTGTTGAATTTTATCTTTAGGTCTGCGTGACAGCAGCCGGAAGAAATGACCGCTCTATCCAAGAGTTTGCCAGCGTGGACTGGATGGCTTACCAAGGAGCACCTGATGGTGGTGTGGCAGGAAAATCACGCATTTCACAGTGGTGGACTGGATCACAGTGTAAAGAAGTTAACCTTCCTCATGTAATTGTCTATTTTGTGTCTATTTTTCAGTGCAGTTGGAGATTTTTGGGGCGGCGGGTGGGGGGTGGGGGGGACCTAAACGTGGCGAGAGGTTATGCCACCCTCCCATTAGTAATATCCATGATTACGAATCTTACAGTGTCAAAGTTTCGATGCTGCAGTAGGAAATTGCATCATTTTTTCAATTGCCGCCATACTGGATTGTTATTGTATTTGGTAGGTGACCAACTGTGACGCAATCACGTTATTCAGATATTTTGCATTTTAAAAACCACAAATTTTGTTTTGCATAAGTATGACTAATTCAACAAAAATCCGAGATATCGAAACGATTTGAACCACGGTCAGGTTGGACTCCATTGCACAAAGTATGTTTTACGATTGAGGGACGGGGAGGTGGGGTAAGGGAGTCAATTGATATTATGGAGGATGGAGGGAGGAAAAAATGTAAGATTTTTAGATGCTTGAAAAATAAAGTTTGAAGTGAATAATTGATAGTAAAAGACCGATCCATCAGGCCCTGCTCCCCAGGAAGCTCATTCGCAGGCTAAGCCCCTTAAAACTGCAAAAACAATCATTCATTCATGCACTATATTTTGTCGGTACATGGCAAATGTTTGTCTTCTGCCAAGGCGGTTATAAAGCATAAACCAACAGAAACTGAAACTATGAAACAAAACACACTAAACCGGCCTTATACATTTGAAGGTTAAACTCCAGGCGGCCAGAAACATGCAGATCGTGTTTCATTTTTGGTTCTGAGCTTTTTGTTTTGGATATGTTGTTAAGAAATTAACAGTATTAATTAGTCTGGATATACAACTCACCTTTTGTGATTTGCATTAACGATTGCTTCACAGGGAAAGTTTGCTACTGCGCCAACAGTCCTGGTTACAGCAGAACATATTAGTGCAGCCTTCAAGCATGATGCCGCCAGTTTGTGGGTGGAGAACGCAACCAGTTCCTCCTTTTACATTTGTCTTCGAGAACTGCAGAATTATGATGGTCTACATGAGGATATCTTTGTGGTAGTTTGATTGTTATCATTTTTCTGAGGGATGCACATTAAGAACCGTAGAGAAAAAAAAGCACATGTCAAAAAGAGAAAATAAAATATATAAAGAAAGAAACTTCACATTTAGCAAATAGTGATGATGAACATATCTCAAGTGGTCTAAAAACAGTGTGTGTATGAATATCGTAACATTTCAAGCTTCCAATTCTATTTTTATAAAGCGACAGATGCAAAACTCAGGACTGGTAAATTTCGTTCCGGAATGGAGTTTACCTTTTGTACAAATCAGCTCCATTTTCCGAAAAACGGCCGCAAAGACCTGAAACTGGTATCAACGATGGCTTTGAAGAAATGGAATACGAATTTCCCTTTCGAGCATTCCGACTGGACAAACAAGACTACCTTCCCAGATGTTCCGTTGTTGCTCCTGGAAATTTTCCGTTGTAATGACCCATGGAATCGTGATCCATTTACTTTCCTACCGAATTTTTCTGGAAACTTTTACGTAAGTGGTAAACAACTCCTCGTTTCCACCTGTAACTATAAAATTGACTATTAACGAGACGGCATCTAACGTAATGACTGGTATTTAAATTAAAAACGGCAGGTATTAGGTATATGTTATCATCAGAAGATTGCTTTGAAATCAAATCACTCTCGACTGCTGAACATTACTTTTTCAGAATTGGATGGTCTTTGATACAATCCACCGGCCCCTTTTTGCCGAGAGCAAACAAGTGCATTTTCCAAACAACAACCCTGTTTCTGCGAACACCAATGGTGCATTTTGTAAGGTAAGAAACAGGTGTAAGCGAAACCTGCAATCTTGGACTAAGTTAATGAAAAACCTAGACCCCGCTCCCCCTATTTGAAAGACGGAAAAATGACACGTTTTTGCCCTTCGCGCGGCTTCATCCTTGACTTGGGGCGGGGCGGGGGTTAGGGGCAGATGGGGGTTTGCTGTTCAATTCAATTCTGTCCAGGATTGTAGCTCTCTGATTATTTAAGCTTGTGCAGAGAAATGAAAGCTGATATTCAACAAGTCCGAATCGTTTCTTTGTTTCGTTTTGTTGTTGTTGTTTTTTTATTGGCTGCATCTGACTGTGAAACGCCTTAAGTAATCTCGACCATAATCCTTTGACATGCTTTGTGTTCTGAAGGAATTTTGTCAGAAATGGAAACCGGGTAAGGGAACGTCTTTAAGTTAACCTTGTTTCAACTAAATTCTTCCTATAAAAAGGGTGTTTTTCCACTCCCTTCACTGTCTTCACGGCAGCATTCTTCTAGGAAAACCTTGGATACAGGTTTTAACACTTACATCTTACGTAGCATGAATTAACAAAATGGTGTGCTTTGAACTTAATTTACAATATATTAATAGCCTACGCTTTCTACCCCTAGGACGTGCAATTTGCAAGAAATTACGACAAAGAACCCACAGTAGTGATAGCAGCCAGTCATAACTCAGAGGGCAACAACTTAAAACCAATACACATGTCTGTTACTGCTTGGGTTGAGGTAATGTAGGATGGAAGTGTTTTAAGTCATATAATAAAAAGGTCAGAAGCAAAAGAATACTATATTTTTTATGTCAAGAAGTGAAGAGATCTATGTGGAAGTTTATTAGGCCCTGTTAAAACGTCATATTTCACATGTGCCGAACCTATTTTAAATGGGCCGGAACAATAGATTTTTCCCATTGGCCGGCTGAATTTAACACATAAGAAAACGGGCGCTTTCCATTTAGTTAAAATTTCCGGAATTTCCGGTTCGGCGGTAAATGGAACACGTTTCGTCGGTTCGTCCCAGTGGAAAATTCCCAGAAAAAGTGGAAAATCTAAAAAGGTGGTCCCGTTTTCCCGGTTGGAATTTCCGAACGGAATGTCGTGTTCCATTTACGTTTCTCGTAGTTTGTACCAGTTCCAGGTCCACGGTCGGGCACCGCCCCGTATTGGTGTTTACGACCAAATGGAACAACTTTTTACCGATCAGAAATTCCACTTTTGCTACCACCGAAATTTCCGGTTTTTTTTCCTAAATGGAAAGCGCCCAACGTGACGTTTAAACCGGCCTAAAACAATGTACATGTAGCAATATTTACACAAAGGACCATTCCGTTGAACTTGAAAGTTTTTAATATTGTTTATTAAGTCTAAAGCATCTTGCTTTTTTGGCTGTTTTTTCATACACCTTTCTTAAGTTCTAGTTCTGAAGTCGAAATAAATTGACGCCTTTAATCAAATTCTATTTCGAGACATAACTACAATGCCTTACTGATCAGCTTGATCAGGCGAAGTTCTCCAGTATATTTGACCTTTATACACGTACTCACATTAAGTACTCACATTCTTATCTTTATTACCAAAACTGTTTTGTAAGTAACACAATTATTTGATATGAGTGTAAAGAATTGAAAAACAAGGTTTGTGACATCACATGATTTCACAAATTCTCCTTTTCGAATTTTGAGGCAGTCATCTTGAGCCCGCTGTTGCCCAGTTAACGATGAAGTTAGCAATTATTACAACTATTTCTTTTGCCAAACCAGCTTTAACCAAGTTTTTTTTTTAAATAAAACTAATAAAACGGACGGCTTAAAGAAGAGAAATCATACCATCGAGAAAGTGTTCGTCATTGAAACGTCAATCACGATCACATGTAACAATTGAATGATATATTAATTGCTTCCACATAAATTTCCTGAAATTTGGCGGGTTGTTGTTTAGGCGGCTCAAAAATGTAAATATGAAAAGTGAGCGCGGTCACTTGTGCCCTACCCCAGACTAAACTCTCGATTTATGGTGCTGAGAAAGATTTTTGCGTTGGAAGGGAAATTAAGCTTGTTTTACAAAGGATATTATTCATTTTACAGCACATTAATACAAGCGAATTCCGCATTTGTCTCAAAGAATTGTACGCTGACCAGCATGATCCTGTAAATGTATCGTACGCTGTACTTGCAGGTGGGTTTGGCGGCAAAATTTAGCTTGTTTTACAAAGGATAATATTTATTTTACAGCAGATCAATACAAGCGAATTCCGCATTTGTCTCAAAGAGTTGTGCGCTGACCAGCATGATCCACGGGTTTGGCGGCAAACATCCCTCCCCCTTTATAGCGACATTAAGCGTTTAAGTTACCATACACTTTCTATTTTTCTTTTGGTTTTAGAAGTTCAATTATGTTGCTATTTCCCAAGACTGATGGCTTATATGATTTATGCTTTCTAATACATACCCTTGTTTATTGTTATTTGGTTTGTTCCTGCAGATGTATGTAAACCCGGTTGGTCTTATTTTGGTGGCATATGCTACTCAACCAGTCAAACATGTAAGAACTGGACTGAAGCCCAGAAAACATGCCAATCATACAGTGCTAATCTCATTAGTGTACGAAACCAAGAAGAGAACGTCTATATTCAACATAGGATGAATGGCGCTAAGGGCTGGATTGGACTAAGCGATAGGGACACAGAGGGAACTTTTGTCTGGGCAGATAATCAACTCAATAACTTCACATACTGGGCTAAGAACCAACCAAACAACTTCAACAATGAAGACTGCGTTCACACTTTGGGAGTCAGACATAGTTTTACGTGGAATGATGTGAGCTGTGACACCTGCCATAACTACACCTGTTCAGAAGGTATCTAGGAGCCTTTGCACTTTCTCGTATAAGCCTTGAGTACACGTTAACACCAAAGGATTACCAGAACGTCTTGTCCTCGTAGGCTGGTAAAAAGAATGGTACATTACACTTCATGACATCGTCTTCACATGCCAAGCAGGGACATTTTTACTTTAGAAACTATTTTGATTTTATAAGCTGTAGTAACATTCAAGATGACCTCTATTTTGAGTGAAAACAATCTTTACATTTCTAGATTGAGTGATTGATGATTGCCCAATCTGTCCAACGATTGGATGATCCACTGTTCTATTTACCGCTGGATTGATTAGTTGGTTGGCGGGTGCATAATTTTTTGTATGTGGTTTTGTCTCTTTAAAGCAATCGATTGATAACTTTTTGATTCTTTTAAACTAAGATCTTGATGAATGTGGAGGGAATAATCACCATTGTCACCATAATGCCGTCTGTAAAAACACAATCGGCTCCTATAAATGCCGGTGCTCGATAGGATATACCGGTGATGGCTTAATGCGTGCAGGTAATAATCCATAATTTCATTTCCCTTCCAAAACATAAACTAGAAGGGCTTTTTTACCTCAATAATAGCAGAGCTGGAATATCATATTGGTGTAATATCAAAACACCATGAGCCTTCAAATTATTTATTAAATTTTTATTTCAGTATTCATTAAAAAAATCCGAATTCAATAACTGTTTTTATTCATCAAAACACTACGGAGCTCATAACAGATGTTCTTCACAAAGCAGTTGCCATCCTTCGACTTTTCATTGTACGATTTTACGATTGATGTCAATCATTTAACAAATAGATTAGATATTGTCGTTCGTCTGTTCAGTAACAGATCAAAGATCACTTCAAAAAGTGTTAAAAACAAAGAAGTTGCACACGAGCCGCAGGCGAGTGTGTCATTGATGTTTTTACCACATTTTGGCGTCTTCTGTGATCTATTACTGAACAGACCCACGGCAACATGGAATCTATTTTTTTTTATACAATGATCAGAAAAAACAGATAAAATTACCCTGCCTCGAACCGTTCGTCTCTTCTTCTTGCTTTTTTTTTCTTTATCTTACTTGTAACCAGTTTCTTCGAAACGTTTTTTTCTCAAATTGTCAAGAACTCTTTTTGTCTCCGTTTTTCCATTTTTCTTCTTTGTGAATAGCTCCTGCTAAACTCGAGGCTTTCACTTGCTTAATCCGAAATAATCTCACAAACATTTTCAAAACGGCCCCGGCCATGCTGAACAAAGCAAAGTAAACAAATTTCCCGTGACGTAAAATTCTTGTATCTGTACTCTAACAGATCAAGGGCCACGACCAATCACAGCGCGCGTTGCTTTCTCATCTTTGTATAAAAAGTGATAGTAAACATCTTCCAAATTTTGACAACCGGCTGGTTGGTGAAGAAGAATGCGTGGGTGGGTTTAAGCCAACCAGAAACGGAGAAAATTTTAATGAATATCAATTGAAGTTAAAAGAATATCACCTTTCTCCCTTATGAAGTGGTGTTTGTAAGTTAACGCTGGAGTATGAGTTCTTATATTGTGTTCTTGTTAAAATTTTTTCTTTCCCTGGCTCTTAAGATGTAGACGAGTGTTCTGCAGGGCATCAGTGTGACAGCAGTGCGACTTGTAATAATACAGATGGGTCTTACACATGCACCTGTGACAGTGGCTACTCAGGAGATGGACGAACCTGCTATGGTAAATAAACTACTTAATCAAATGCACAGGTTTCACAAAAAAATCTTTCACAAAAGTAGGTACACGAATTTTGGCCCTTTAATTTTTTTTTTCGTTTCAGAGCTATCCATACTAAAAGTAATGATACTAAAAAGCGTTCAACTTTAATTTCCCCAGCCAGTTTTCTTACGTAAAGCTCCCAAGTTCAGCACATGCACGAACTCTTGCTCCCCTATGATACACCCGAAGCAAATCGTTTTAATTCTTAGAATACTACAAAATGCAATTTAAACGGGAAAAAACAAATAAAAAAAAGAAAAAAGCCACAAGAGCTTGTTTGAAAGTTTATCGAAAAAAGACATGAAAATACATGAAACTAAAATACCTTGACCAGCTACGAAAAAAAGCAAGTGTTGTTTCTTCATGATCGCGAAGCCAATCGCCAAGTCACTCGCCGATAGATAACTGCAGCCTGTTTATCCGACATGAAGAATATAAATCACAAGCAACCAGCTACAAAAACGGGCTATGCAGCCATTCAATACAGCAATCTAGGCGTTAGTATAGCTTCCTCTCTCGTTCAGCAAAAGCAGCTGGTGGCTTCAAACAACTTCATAACAAGCGACCGAGGTAAAAGTTTTTCTCCAATTTTCTTTTGTAACTGCACCAAAAATCCAAATTCTCAGTAATTTTGACGGCTGCACTTAAAAATTATTTTTCTTCACATTAATTGCGAGGGTTTTTTAGCTGTCCTGCTGTGTAAAATCCTAGAATCCCGATAAGTTTTTCAAAGTGTTTATCGCTATAGTGTTTTGATTTTTCATTCATCCAGTCCGTTCGCGCGTTGACAGTCAGTTTTGATAGACGTGTGACATGTGAATAGCGGAAGTCCCTTGTCTTTTCCGGTTTGTTCTAACAAAACTAAAGGTGATGTTACACAGGACGATTCGCAACGACGATTTTTAGCGCAACACAGCTTTGCAACATTGTCGCGACATTGTTTCAAATAGTTGCAACATCGTTCCAACATTGCGTTACATTAAGTCGGGGAGATTCATCGAGATTTTGTGGGCGTTTTTAATAAGAGAATTATTCCACTCGCGCTTGCTGGATATGAGATGATTATTGCCTTTTTTTGGCTAGCTACCATCTCATATCCAACGCGCTCTCGTGGAATAATTGTTAAATATGACTTGTATTCCAATCGTTTTTAAATAAGAAAACAGAATAATTATGATAAAGAAGGGAAGTCTCAATACAGGCTGATTCAATGAGCATACACTGTAAGTGAAAGTATTACAAGCATACGCGTTTTATCGTCGTAATATGACAGTTGCACGATGACGTCATTTTACTACAACTACCAGAATCCTTCAGTTCTGACTCGTTCTGACCTCTTTTCCTCTTTTTTCTTTACCATCTATCCTGGAACTAGTTCATTAAGAAATTGTAATTGTCTTTAATTTCAGACGTGGATGAATGCTCACTCAACACTCATGACTGCGACGCAAATGCAATTTGCACTAACACAGTAGGAGCATTTACTTGCAAGTGCGACGTAAACGCGCATTACATTGGCGACGGAAAGACTTGTACTTCCCACCGTAAGTCAACCTATTTTAATAAGATAATTAAACAAGTAGTAACCAAAGGTGCGGGTGGCAACGATCGAAGGTCTAAACGCTTTTGCCCAAACGCTTTGCTTTGCGTAAGTTTCACGCGATAGATAGTCAAAACACGCGTGATTAAATTACGAGTGATAGAGTGTCGAAACGCGCGTGATCAGACTGTGTTCCATTCATAATCTTAGTGTAAGTCCAAATGAGGCTGGCTACATACTTGCGGTGCATGCCGCCGTAATAGAAACCTGGAGATTAGGATTTGCGGGCTCCTCTTGTCGCCCGCAACAATTTATCTGTTTATAGATCTGCTCTTTTTTACGTTTTTATCACGGCTGGCTAGTCCACTTTGTTTATAGCTGTCAATGACGCGTCCTTTTTCGCCATAGCACTTGAAAATAGAAAATGTTTGTAACAGACAAAATCACTGCTTTGAACTTTGAAAAACTTTTAAGCTAACAAGTTTTCGAAAACCATAGTTTGAATCCGTTTCATTCTTCAGGTTTGTCTATCCGAGCCCCCTTTGTGTTTTCTGTGTTATTTATACCTTTTGAGCGATTATTTTTTATGTTTCACTCAATTTAGAGGGAGTTCCCATTGTTTTGTTTGAATTTTGATAATAGTTTTGTCCCTAATATCATAGTAAGTTTCAGTGAGTTGCGGAGAGCTTCGGCAGTCAATACGCGCGCTTTAGTGGCCTTTGCTGTAGGTAGCAAAGATGCGGTGTTTGCCAATATACAGTTGTTAGATCATTGTCAGGTCGTTCTTTCTCTGTTTTTAGCACTAGTTTGATCAACAAACAGCAAAACCTTAAAGCAACTACAGGACAGATTTTGGTTTGCTTTTCTTTCAGGTGGCCTCGGTAACTCAGTCATTTTATCGAATGACGTCGGCAAGATATCACAATTGAATACCTGGCTTCTTCCCCATTTGCAAAGTTCAGTCAGAAGTTACTGGAAACTGTGTTATAGAGCCACTAGTCACGGTTGGAGCTCGCAGACCTTTCACAGTTATTGTGATAACAAGGGACCCACTGTAACCATTGTAAGAGTTGGAAGCTATATATTTGGGGGTTACAACGACAATTCGTGGCAATGTAAGTCTGCTAAACTAAAAAGACACTAAGAGGGGTGTTACTGTTTGAAATTATGGCCATTAAACCCCGAGTGTGTAAGGGGTGATGAGTAGGGCTGGTGCGATCTTGCCCAATACCTTGACACAATGACGCTCCGATTGGTTAAAAACCATGCGTTTAACCTAGAGCGAGTAAGGAAGGGTAGTGGCATCCTCCTTTCTTCTGCAACAGCTAACATCATTCATTTTTTTAAATAATGGTTTTATAGTACTTTTTTTTCAGTAATTGATTGTTTTTATGGCCTCATCTGATTAGTGGTAAAGAGAAAGTTTTTTTAGTATATTGTTGCGCTTGTTTGCGCAACAAAAAGCGGCTAACTAATTCAATGATTAACGCGCACCCGGATGTGTTCTAGGTCTCATATAATTCTCTGGTAAATTCAATAAAAACTTTACAAGGGTAATTAATTATATTATATTAAATTTAAATTTAATATATTAATGTTGTAAAGCGCAACCGAATATATTCATATGGAGGTTTGCGCTCTATAAATGTAAATTATTATTATGGCAGCAAAAACGTCTGGATGCCCAGAGTAAAAAATAAAAGCTTTGGCTGGGCGGCATACCGTAACCAGCCGCAGCATTGACTAAAATTTGTAGTATCAATTACACAATAATTTGCGCAAAAAAAAAATAATAAATGAATGAACTGGGTAGAAATGATTTGATAAAGGTGTCATAAAATTAAAACAATAAAAAAATCCTACAAGCTTTATGGACATCTTAATTATAAAATAAAGATGTTCATAAGTTAAAAATCATCGTTCATATCGCTGTCCATTGAATAATGAGAGCGTCTAAGGTATGTCAATAAAATTTCGATAATGTACAAGAGTAATTATCTGTTAAAATAGGTGTCCAAAATTCCTATAGATATCTAACCTCTCAGCTTATTATTATTATTATTATTATTATTATTATTATTATTATTATTATTGTTCGAAGTGAAGCTTTTGTTTCGAAACTCTAAGGACCGATTACTTAACCTTGGAGCGTGTCTAAATACCGACAAAGGAACGATAGAACGTTAAACGTGGGGCGCTTTCCATTTACGAAAAAAACCCGGAAATTTCGGTGGTAGCAAAAGTGGAATTTCCGATTGGTAAAAAGTTGTTCCATTTGGTCGTAAACCCCGGTACGTGGCGCGGTGCCCGACCGTGGACCTGGAACTGGTACAAACGACGAGAAACGTAAATGGAACGCGACATTCCGTTCGGAAATTCCAACCGGGAAAACGGGACCACCTTTTTAGATTTTCCACTTTTTCTGGGAATTTTCCAGTGGGACGAACCGACGAAACGTGTTCCATTTACCGCCGAACCGGAAATTCCGGAAATTTTAACTAAATGGAAAGCGCCCCTGCTGACAGGTGTGCTTTTATGATCATTCTTTTGAAATGACCTGAAATAGACGGACTGCTGCGCAACAGAGAATTAAGAGAGTTAAGAGAAAAAGAGACTACGCCAATCGACGTAAAATACATGTTCAACAAATTACACACCCTACGGACATATTTTACCCTTTAGAGGAATACGATGAAGAAGATTTTCGATTGCGTTTTCGCCTTTTTCAATAAAGATCTTTCAACATTATACAAGGAGGGCTCTGCTGTTCACTTCGATGCAGTAAGTTCTAATTGCTTTCAGATTTTATACAACAAGTTTCAAGCAGGTTACTGGCGATTTATTTGGTGTTTCTGTATTCATTCTGCTGCATGCACGGTCATTCACAAGGTTTCAAGGGCTATCGCGAAACGAAAAGAACCTTTTTTTTTTTGCATTCCCTACGGAAATTTTGCTACCAAGAGAGCGTTTTATTAGAAAGTGTCATTGGGAGGTGCATTTCAGGTTCTCGTTTTTAACGGCGTAGGTTGCTCATTTAACTGCAAGGATCAATTTCCCTTTCATATATTTATCCACAAATCAAAATTTTGAGTCATTTCATGTACTTTTACTCTGTTTTAACTGAATAGCTCAACAAAACTCTACAAATTAATTTCAAGCAGAGAACGTATATCACAATTCAAAAAAACGAAGTGGATGTAACTCGATTTCATACCATCTAGAGACTGTACTAAAAATGACACAGCTTGCACGGACACTTTTAGTAAATATGCACCTAAAGTGTCTTGGCACTAAAAGACATGTTGATGTTTTGCTTGGAATTTTAATGTTGTTTGTCTCTGTTCAGGGTCTTCTGGGTGGCAGTACTCGACCAACACGTTTATTTACTCGCTGCGAAACAATTACGGGTATGGATACTTTAAAAATGATGCGAACGCCAACTATTACTATGCCACATACAGTTACTATAACTATGGTCCAACCTTTGGCAGAGGTCATGAAATCTACATTGCAGACAACGCAGGATACAATTCTCACTCTGGCTTTTCTTGTAGCTGCTATACGTATACAAGTCCCTATTGTTCCTGTAATATGTGGACTGGAAGCAGTAACTTCTGCCCAGATGAGTTAGAGGTATTCTATGAAGTGCTTGCTTAATTCCACCGAGAATATTAATACGACCGAAAACCAGCAAGCTCTTTTTTTTTATTTTATGGGTGAAAGGATACTGATTGTCTTAATGCTCGCCTTTTGATAGATTATTTCACTTTATCTTTACAATCCTTCATAGTAAGGGTGCGTTCAATTGACTCCATTCCGGAAAAAGAGGAATATTGATTTTGGTGTAGAAATCCTTTGTTTAGGAATTACTTGCTCTTAGGACAACGAAGGAAAGCTGTAAAGAGCAGGTGAATGGTATGTTTTCAAGTTTATTTCCTGGTATATTCACCATCAGATTCATCGTGCCAACAATTCAAGTAAAGTAAGGCATGGGTCAACAGCCAAATTCCCGTAAAAATGAAGGGGGTGGTCTATAATATGAACTGTTTATCATGAAGCAAAACGTACCAAAAAATATTACAAACCATAAAAAATTATAATTCAGTGCACACAATTACTATGCAAATTAGGTCACACATGTACAAGGAAATACAAAATATAAGTCGCTACAAAACTGCGCTTGGTAACTTTGAACTATTTAGTTTATTCTGAAAATAAACGGGTTTTCTGACTAGTACCCACTCTCTCCAATACAAGTGTATCATTATAACATGCCTTTCCTTTAAATAATCTTGACATTGCCAAGTGCGGAAATGACATGCCTAACGGCCTTAAAATCATGAAACTAGTAGAAAAATTAAGGAAACAAGAAAAAAGTGAGATCATTTTAGTTAAAAGCTTTACTGGGCGTGGCTAGTCATGTGACCTCATTTTCCTATTTGGTAGAGGCCAAATAGACAAAAACTAACAGTGTATGGGTCTCACAAGTTTTCAACCTGCTACTGCTACTGCTACTGCCACTGCTAATGCATTGAAAATTAGACCACCCCCTCACTTTTCGACTTAATAACTGGGGCGCCTTGAGAACACATATGCATCGGAGGGAGTAGGGATTGAACCTTTAAAACGCAGATGCACGACAAACGCGAGCGGAAATTATGCATAGACTAAAGCAAAGAAGAAAACAAAGTAAGAATCTACAAACCTCATCGGCTGAATTTGTCTTAGTAAGCCTATTGAAAGTTACACGCTACATGTATAAAAAAAAACGCAAACTGAAAACTTTTTCAAGAGCTATATGAGGTAGTGCAGGTGCGTGGAAATACGAAAAAATTGCGAATTTCATCGTTTAACAATTCCTAATAATATACATGAAAAAATTTCTCGATTGTGATTGGCTACGAGGAATGCAGTTTTTAGGTAACACAGTGCAGAAAAAAGGTAATTGAGTGCAGAAAAGAGTAACAAACGTGACATTCTGATTGGCTAATAAACAAAGGAACTCACTGAGAGCCAATCAAATGCGCCATCTAAATGGCGCAAAATTTGGATCCGCTCCGGACCAGTTTCGAGCAAAAACCGCAGTGGTTGGCGATTGCAGCACATTTGCTTTTGCGACCGAAACAACTGTAGAGGAGCTGAAAAACTGCTCTAAAAACGAAAACACTGCGAAAAGCACTGGTTTTTGGCTCTCTTTTTGGAAGAATTGGTGCGTAGGTAAGGAAATTACTGATGAAATAGAAAATTATGAGCCGGCTGAGCTTAACACTTCGCCCGAGCATTTCTACGCCGAAGTAAACAATACAAAAAAGGTGAAGATTTATGAACCAGAAACGAAGCCTTAAAGTAATGAAGGCATCGCTTGATAGACACTTAAAGAACAAAGGCTGCACCCTGTCTATTGTACGTGACCGAGAATTTAGTTCGTCCGAAGAGGTGTTGGAGGAAAAAGCGAATTAAACAGCTTCGCTTGGCTGGCCGTGGTAAGCGCCCAAACAAAGCTCGGCAAGTATCAGAGGAGGAAGAAGAAATTCTCTGGAAAAACGGAAAACTCGAGGTAATAACCCAGAATCTTTATTTCAAACACATTGAACAATTCCATGAACTGTTCAGCCCGTTTCTGCAGGTTGCAAACTTTAAAAACATCGAGCAAAATGTTGTTTTGACTGCACGTGTGATGATATTTGCAGCATTTGAATAATTTATTTTTGCACGTAGTTTACGCGGGTTGACTTCCTATAGGACAATTGCACGATGACGCCATTTGACTACAACTACCAGAATCCTTGAGTTTGCTGTTTTCTTGTGCAAATTAAGGCTATTGTTCTTTAATCCTCAGCGGGATTGATAAATTTAAATAACAAAGCAAAACCGAAATGAATTCTGGTAGTTCTAGTCGAATATCGTCATCGTGCAATTGTCCTATTAAAGAGATTTTAAAGCTATCTCGCAATTTTTTCATGAATATTATTAATAAGTAATCACATAATTTTTCTCGTGCAATTTGGAATAAATAAGCACTCGTAAATTTTTTCAAAGACCACAAATTGCACTCGCCCTACGGGCTCGTGCAATTTTGTTAGCCTTTGAAAAAATTTACTCGTGCTTATTTATTCCAAATTGCACTCGAAATCATGTGATTACCTATACAAATTAATGAGAGAACGAAAAGAAAATTAGTGTAGTGCATAACCTAACAAGTCTTCCTTGTATAGGCCAACAACCTCTGTGTTAAAACACTGTTTTGTGTAATGGGCAAAATACACACCCTTCTGTTTCTTTACGACTGATTAGACCCAGTTTAGGATAGGCTCGCATTAAATTGTACATTAACCTGTTCAAGACAGAGGAAGCAAAACTCTCCAGCGGCACGTACTTGTACAGGTCAAACAAGTAAATCCCCCACCGGGCTCCAGGCTAATTACATCTGAGTACCATTCTAATAATCCCCAAATCCCGGCAAAAGGCATATAAAGCAGTTTTCTGGAGTTTTATTCTGGAATATGGTCAGTCGAACGTACCCTAAAGTTCCGGATTCGGGCGTTTATTTTTTGCAACTCTTTATCGTTTTCTGACTGTAATTTATATTGCTAAGTTGTAATTACATGTAATTCTATCAGGGTTTACGCATTAGGGCCTCTGTTGACAACAGGCGTTTAAGATATATTCTTAGAGGGCAAACCTCGGTTTTAAATTAGATATTAGACGCCTTAAGATCGTGTTTTGGTCATTTAACTGCAAACTGCTGTTAACGGTTTCCCGTTACCCGTCTGCCCATATTTGGGATTTAAGATTCACGGGTGGTAACTCGAGGCTGCCATGTTTGTTTTCATTCATCCACTTACTTCCATTTTAGCTGAAAAATTGACTTCAAAATTACGTCTTTTAATTAATAGAATTCGATAATCAATAAGCAACAGTTCTAAAAAGTCGTCTTTCTTCTCAAATGTGAGATTGTGATGTTTTAGGGTAAAAAAAACCTTGCGGTAAATCACGGTAAACAGGTATACGGTAAACGCATACCTGACAGCAAGGCCGGGGTCACGTGACTTCTTGACTTTCGCGATTCGCGGGAAATGTCGAAAAACTCAATTTTAAGGTCTCTATTGGTGTTATTTCAGGCTACGTTTCCACACTGCTCGTAGGGGTCAAAAAAGTTAAGAATACATTATAAATTTCGCTGCATATGGTTTTGCTATCCCTCTAGTAGAATTTTTTGTTCCGAAAGAAAAAGTGAAATGAAAAAGAAACTTTTGATCGTTTCAAAATCATTCTAACATGTTTAACTTAATAGTTCAAAAACGAACGTGAGTGTTTTGTGGGTTTCCAGACAAGAGAAAAATTGAGGCCGAGCGCGTTTATTTTTTTTTTTTTAAAGTCTATGGAAGCCAGTGAAACCTTAAGCACGCGTTTGTGAAATAACTTCTCTAACAAATAGATTGTGCGGTAATAATATATTAAAATAAATAGTTGGCTAGGATTTTTGGACTTTGAAATTCTTTAAGGAAAAATGTTTGGACCTCTGGTGGCCTCAACTAAAAAAAGGGCGGTCCTACAAAGAATCAGTAACTCTTGCAGAGTCATGCTATAATCGGTTAGTTTAGTTGTATTTGTGGTACGTATTCTTTTCCAGTTTAGAGGTTTTAAAATTTTCGTCGTTTACTAGTTGTCGCGATGAAAGTTACTGGTGTTACACTTACTTCGTAATAACAATGTATTAAAAGTTTTTAATCTTAAACTGAGATGCTGTGTTAGCTACTTAATAGATCAGATATGCAGATTAAGAAACAATTAAATAATATTATGCTCTGACACAGGTTTAAAATCCCTTCCAAACACGTGTGGTTTCAATTCGTTGTTCACTGGGCTTCTTGAATGTTATGAACTAATCCACAGGACCATGATAGACAGTCCTAGCTCAGGCTATTATTAAGAAAATGAATAATTTTAAGTATTACTCTGAAAGTAATAAAAATGCGTTTGAGAAAAGCCAACGTTTCGTTGCACAACTGACTGGTTTCTATGCGTCGAAAAGAAGGGGCTATTTTCTTGCAATAACCAGTGTGAAGTCCTAATTGAAATATTCTTCCATGTCACTGCATCATGGATGGAATTGCATCGATTTGAGTAGTTCCTCGCTGGTATTAAATGATGAAAAAACTCTTTCAACGAGATGTTAAGAATGATGGCGATGATCACTTTATTAATAAGATGATGATGATAATGATGATGATGATGATGATGATGATGATGATGGTGGTGGTGGTGGTGGTGGTGGTGGTGGTGGTGGTGGTTATGTTGATGATAATGTTGAGGTTCCTTTTCTCTGAAAATCTGCACTTTAAGTCTAAAGGGAAACGCGACTTCTCAAGATTAAGGTATTGGGTTTCTACTGCAGTCTGCTTAAATCTCCCAAAGAAAACTTTTGATAGGTTACGTCGCCCGCTCACTTAATAAATCCATTTCGGCTCCACTACGCAGTACAACATGAAGAGAAAACCATTAGGTTTATTTTGGCTGTTTCGGCCGAGCACCGCAGATGTAACAATACGTTATAACATTACATTATACAACATCTTCTATTACATTCAAATATGTGGTGTAAGAACTAGAACAGAGCTGAGCGACAGTTTACACAGAATACTGTCAGAACAGAG